ACTAAAAATTAAAAAGGACGCACAGTTTTTTGGCAAAGTGCATCCTTGGGATGTAGGAAAAAAGTTCCGAAAACTTTAGTAATAGGCAAAGGACCCCAGAAAAACAACGAAAAAAACCCAACTCTTTGGGAGTCCCAAGGACCCTTAACTATCAAAACTAGTGGGAACTCTGGAAAGGGTTAATAATAAACTACTATTGCACAATAAATTAGAATCTGTTTAGAGCGGACACCCTGTAGTAAGTGAACATAAATGAGTGTCCCAGGGGCATCCACTTAATACAAGGTTCATTGTAAGCAAAAATGTGTTCTGCCTACAGGTTCATTTTCAAGCAAATCAAACTCACATGAAAGTTTTTTCAAGAGGACTTGTTTTGAAACAGAGGCATAAGGTAACTCAGACATGGCCTATTGCATCCCTTTCCCACCTTCCCCATCCCTGCCTCTACCATTGGCTGCCGTGAGTCAATCTCTGGGTTGTGATTGGTACATTTCAATCCATTTTGTTGGTCATTTTTCTATAAGGTTGACAGATTGTTGTTGTAACTATCATGATTGACAGCAATGAAGAACCCAATAAAATTTTAATTCAAGTTTTGAAGTCTGGGTGTTAATCAAAAGCATAATAATAATCAAGGGTAATTTCAGATTTTGTACATGGTCTCTAAGAATGTAAATAAGTTAACAAATTGACTTCAGTTTTTCATGCGTCTGCCCTGTTATTGATCATGAACGTTGTCATAATAAAATTGTCAAATCAAGGCAGTGTTGGCTCTCGCTCATTGACGCATCACATAAGTTATAAATTCATTTGTCTATCCACTTATTGACAATGAAAATCAGCCAATGAGCGTGTGAGAATTTCTGCAGTTATCGTAAAATACACAGTTCATAGATTCGATCCCAATATCGCTGATCACTTAACCTGGTCACTTATGTTCAAATTTCCAACAGTTTTGGAAGCAATGTCCACTGGTTCACAAAACCGCTGGAAGTCAACAAACTTTTCTGGGCCAGAAAATGAGACACACCAAAAAACGAAGACAAATATCTGCGATTGAAATAATCTGAAACAAAAAAATTAAAAACCTAATTTTCTGATTCCTACTCATTACTACTTAGATATTCAAACTAGCACTCACTCTGACACTGTGTCCTAGAATTTTAAAAGATTCATCTGCATACAAACTACTGTATGACCTTTGGGTCAGCCTGCAGCCTACATCTCTCAGATTAAACGAACGCTATTTACCTGTTTTTCCTGGCAAATGAATTCCATCCTAGCTATAACGTCTGGGATTCCATTTATAAAAAGAATTAAGGGCTCAAGACACTGACATGGAAGTATGACCGCCGGTACCGCCGGTATATCACCGCTCGTAACTGAGCCTGCAAGGCTAACCACTGACTCTCAAACTTGGATGCGCGTGATTTCTTTCAAAATAACTTGAGCGGGCCCTGGGGACGAGGCTGCTGGACTTCGGTGTGTTGTTGTTGTTCGTCCTTCGTAGTCTTGTTTACAGTTTACATGGTTGACAATTAAAGAGTTTTAACCGGATTAGATGTACCATACAGCTCAAAAAGACGTGGATAAACTGTTATTAAGTGCTATAAACTCCAAATGGAAGGTTCTGAATCTTAGTCATCGCGATCTGACCGTACTTCCCGATTCTTTGAAGAAACTTGTCAGAGTGAGAACTTTGTTGTTGAATGACAACAGAATTATTATGCCTCCAATGGAACTTGTTTCGCTCAAAAACCTTCAGGTTTTGGCGTTGGATCATAATCAGTTGACCTTGATACCGTCAGGATTCCGGCAGCTATCAAACTTGAGGATTTTGTGTTTGAGTCACAATAACCTAGGGTTTTTACCGTCAGAAATTGGAGAATTGACTTTTCTTCAAGAGTTGTGGATTGTCAACATTCAGCTCATAGGATTGCCTCCTGAAATTTGCAATCTTCTGAACCTGGAAAAGCTTGGTGCAGGATGCAACAGTATTAAAACACTACCGGAGAAGTTCTCAGCTCTAAAGTCCTTGAAATGGCTCAGCTTATCAAACAATCAACTTTCAACTTTACCAAGTGATTTTCATTGCCTCATCAACTTGATACATTTGGATCTGGCAGAAAATCAATTCGGCAAGTTTCCAGAAGGCTTGAGTGGTTTGCACAAACTGGAATGCATAAACCTGCGTTCAAACATGATTCAATCTTTGGACAGCAATTCAGTTAGTAACTTGCCTCACTTGAGTCGTGTAGACTTGAGAGACAACATTTTGACATTACTTCCAAGAAATTTAGATCGCTTACACATATTTTTCATTGGAGAAAGACAAATTTTCAGAGACATTGATGACCAGAGCATGCAAAAAGTTAATGAAGTCAGGAAGAAACAGAAGTTGTCAAAAAAATAGATTATCTTGATCAGGGTAGTGGGCAATATTAAACTGGTGTTAATCCTGTTTACTAAAAATATTCAAACTTTTCTGGTCATTCCCGTATTTATTAAAATTAAATATTCTGCATCACATACTTTTGACCCTGACTTGCTATTTCCCATTGCATAAGCCTCTTAATTTCACCTTGGCTTTATCTAGTCTGGGTCACAGGTAGGCTAGCCTACAAGAGGTGGAACTACAGTACTGTACGTCTGTGTTCGCAAGCCACAGGCCCACTTGATTTCCAGCTGTTTTGGGAGTCTGGTTGTGATCCTCCGACCAACCAAGGAGGTGGGCTTACAAAACGGCTGGAAATCTAGCCTAAATAAAGTGATGAATTCATCAATCTGCTTTTTTTTTCTAATTTAGTTTTTGAAGACTGTCTTTATAATTCTAATTTTGTTCCGATTGGATGGACTATATTTGAGTCCTACATCAGAAATGTGAGAAATCTATTTTAATGAGCTCCTGATTCTGCCTAGATATAGCGTACGATCATGCAAATGCTGCCTAGGAGAAATTAGTGCAAACTTGGTTAAAAAAATATATTTCAGAAATGTTGCAAACTTACAAGTTGGACTGATCATGAAGGCAAGGCTCTATTTGACCTGAAAGTGAGGCTCCATAAGACACCCCTCACTCTTGAGGCCCTGTTAGCGTAAATGCTGACATGCGACATGGCTCTGAAACGATGACATGAAGGAGCTGAAATGACCACGAATGAGAAGTCAAACATGTCACATAAGGATTGAAAAGTACATTTTCTGAGTCTATTCTCTCTGCATTGCATTGTCGCACTTTGCAAGTCTATTACACTCTTTCTCTTTTTTATAC